GGGACCCCAGGACCCGCCCCTCCTCCGGGCGCCGGCTCGCCCCGCACCTGCCCTGCCGAAGCCCGCAGCGCGCCGGACTTACAGAGGGGGAGAGGACAGATCCCGTGGACTTTAATCTGAAAAACAAGACAAAACAAACAGCTCTGTTATTTATAAAGGCCCAGGAGCAGTGTTAAGGGCTGCAGGATCCAGTTCTCTGTGCATTTGGTCTGTCGGAAGTTGTCCTCCCGCTTTCCTGGAACTGTGAGAGTCCCTCTGGCAGGGGCTCCAGCTGCTGCCGCCGCCTCACTGGGACCCCTGCTGCTGCGCAGTCTCTTCCCTTCCTCTGTCCCCCCTGCGCCCCTTGGGCACCGCGGAGAGCCAAGCACAAGCGCACCCCGTTGTAGCATTATCACTCCTCTCCAGAGGACCTCAAATGCCCTGTCCTAAGCCTTGGAAAAAGGGAGTATGGTCGCCGGCTCAGGGGGAGCTCAGCCTGGCACCTGTGCTGACCCCTGCATGACTTTGTCCAGGCCTAAGTGGCTCCAGTGATCCTGTCCTCAGAGAGGCCTCTTCCTCCCTGGGAGTGAAGCTACCAGAATGCCTGGAGGGAGAGAGACTGAGGACAAGTACCCATCCCTTTGCTACTTGCAAGCAGCCTGCTGGGGCTGGAAGGTTTTCTCATATGTTTGGGGGAAGGCCAATGTTCCTGTCGAAGCTCTCAGCCTGCTGGAGGAAAGGGGACTGTGAAGATTGGAAGCTGCAGGGCTAGGCCTGAGGGAACTTTTGATAAGCCTTGGCTCTTCTGCTTCCCACCTTTTTGCCAAATACCTTTGGGCCCTAGAGACTGCTAAGGGAGCTTAGCCTAAGCCCTGCCTGCCCCTCCTTGGTGCAAGTTTCCTGCCTGCCTCTTGTCTTGCCCTTGGCAGCTGCCACCTAACCCCACCCCACCTGATCTAGTGCTGATATCCACAGCCCAGCCCCCAGTCCTGCATGCTGGAGATTTCTGGATCCTTCCCTGGGAGGGGGAGGTCTCCTAACCAGATTGGACAGGAGCCTTCATTCCTTGACTTGTGTCACTTGGGAGCTATTTATTTATTCTTAATATTTAATTTTTAACATCCTCTCAGGGACCAGGGGCCTCATGCTTTCCAGAGGCCCAAGTGCATTTATCCCAAAACAAGGCACCTTCTTGGCATCCGCCCCCCCCCCCC